TTGCTACCTTTTCTGACCCTACCAATGAAGTGGAGCCATTTACCAGTGCTTAACAGGATATGGGTGGGATTGAGTCTAACTGACTGAGATAAGAGAGAGAATGATCATAGACTAGGTAGATTTCCTCTTTATTTTATCTGCCTATTGTAGATATTTCTTCATAGTAGTATCTAAAAGCTGAAATGGCAGAAATAACATCAGCACCTGATGGATATGAGCTTGCTGATGTACACCAGCTGAGAATCTGATCCAGTAAATATAAAAGTTGTGTGCTTTTTATTCTCACCGTATCATTTAATAAAGAGAGAAGATTCCCAGGACAGTAAAGTGTATCATGTTCAAAATAGGACTATGAGCCAGAACTCCAGGCTGGTTTTTAAAATACGTTAAGGCTATACTTGGACCACCCCCGTTTAAAAGCTGTAAACACTTCATTTTGTTTTATTGTTATAACATTTAGAATTTGTTACTGTTGCTAGTAGCTGAGAGTCTACTTATTTATATCATGCCATGTTTACATGTCACTGTACACACTGCACTTAAATCAGTTTGCATAATATGTTAGAAGTGTTTTGTTAAGAATGTTTAGATTTACAGGCTTGGTGATTTCATTGGAGTTGCTCTGGATTTACAATAGTGCAAATGAGAACAGAGCCTGGCTACAGTATTTAAGTATGCAATGCACAATATAATTCATAGTCCAATATATGCAGTTTTAAATTATACCTACAGAAATATTACTCAGACTTTACGTAACAAATTGTTGTGCTTTCCTTTTCTTACAGACTTACTAAAGAAAATGTGCAGTCTTGTTCTTTAGGAAGATGTAATCATAGAACTGTTCTGCCATCTGGAGTATATACCTTATATATTCCACTAGTGTAAACCCAGAGCAAGGTGGTTATTGGATTTGTACTAGTGTCACTGAATGCAGTGTATGTCCCAATATTCTTAAAAACTCTGAACTTTCCAAACATGAAATCACTTATTCCCCTGCCAGCCTCTGCTCTACTGGGATTAAGTTTCTGAGACTGATTCAAAGTTGACCGAGATAAACCATTGCATTTAGTTTATTAACTCAAATATTAGAGTTAAACTTGCCTTGGTTATAGATAGCAATCTCTCAGGATCCCAGACAGGTACTCATACTCATCTGAGATTAAATCCTAATATTTGAACGTTTATATAGTTTTTCTTCTATCCAAAGAGTTCAAAACCCTTTACAAACAAGCCTTACAACACCCCTGTGGGGTAGGTATGTTAGTATGCCCATTTAACTGAGGGGACACAGGGGCACAGAAAGGTTATCTGTCTTGCCTCAGGTGGCCAGACTTGCAGATCTGTAGCTGTCCCCCCATGACTTGCATTGCACATTCTGCGCTTCAAGTTTGGGCAGTGGCATGTAAGAGAAAAACAGATCCAGTGTAACAGAGATGACCTTCCTACACTGGTGTAGAAAAAAGCCAGAGAAAAGGTTCAGAATAGGAATTCCTCTCCACAACCCCGCCACCTCAGTCCCCTCCCCACCGACTCCCTACAAATTAATCAATTGCCGCATACAAATATGTGATTGTCCCTTTTCTCGTGGTCCCTTAGTCCCCCTTCCAATCCATTCATCCCCTACACCAGTCCCTCAGTCAGGGTGGATCATAATCAATGATTTTTTAAAAAGAAATAAAAAAAAATCAGATTTTTTTAAATTTGGATTTTTTTTTATAAAATGCTTTTTGAAGAAAAAAACTATCTTTGAGCTATAATGTATCTTTAGATATCTCGTCATGGAATAGGGATTATAAATTCTAATTCTATAGTATCAGACAATATAGTCATGTAATATTTAAGAAAAGTTTTGTGAATGAGTTCCAATAGTTCATGGATTAGGGACCCAATCTTATGGGGTTCCACAGGATTCTGTATAGATTATTTAAATTAATCTTTTTATCTACCCAGTGGGACTCAGTGCTCAGTCTAGAGGATACCATCAGAGATGCTTAGTTTTGCAGTTCTCAAACTGAGGATTTGTGTCTCCAGAGCTAACATGCTTGTTAACAGCAAAAATGTTTTTAAATAAATAAATAATATATAGAGGTGAGAAATAACAGACCTCAACCCTATTGTCCCTCTGCAAATTTGTGTACACAGAGTCAATCCCTTACCTCTCTCTAAAAGTGCAGTTTTTAAAAGTTCAATGAAAAGAAGATTGTTGGGGGCGGAATAGATCTGGACATGGAGAAGAAGTCTGGAGATAAATATGAGAAGCAAGGGACATATGCTTGTTTTATTAAAATATTATATGTTTGCTGTTGTAGAAAAAAATCCAGAATACTTAATATTGTTTTAGTTAAATAAAACAATTTAAATATCTGTCTGGTGATGTTCTCCTCCTAATACAGCATGGCACGAAAATCCTCCAAATATTAATGATTAACCTGTTGAATTGGAGATAGTTCACCTCCCAATGACTTCATAAATATCTGCTTCAATTACTTATGGTAAATGAAATAACTAAACAATCAGTCTTTTTCTGATATAGCTGTAAAACGAATCTGAATTTTTTTCAAAATAAATCACTGTTTAAAAATGTATAGTGTGTACCTTCTAAAAATGAAACCTACATCAATCTCTGCGTTGTGAAGAATATGTATTAAGGGTATAACAACCAACAAGAATGCACTTTTATATAGAAATCCATGATTAAATCGAGTTTTCCTGACTAGTGATTTAAATCAGTTTGATTTAAATCAAATCCACCCTGCCCTCAGTTATCCCCTTTCCTGCCTCAGTTCCTCACCTAGAGGCTGAGCTTTTCTCCTCAGCAGCAGCCATAGCTTCTGGTGGTGAGGAGGCTAATGCTGTGTCTCCTTCCCTGGCTAGGGGCTCAATCTTCTCAAAGCTCCCGTTGCCTGACACCTTCCACAGCTCCCTCAGAGTTTCTCATGAGAGGCTCTGAGGGCAGTGACAGGAAGGGAAGGGGGGCAGGGCCTCAAGCAATGACCCTGCCCACTCTGAGAGGCTAGAGAGTCTCATTTCAGATCAAAAAGCCTCATCCTCTGGCCAAAAGGTAAAAATTAGGCTAGCTGGGCAGATCTTGCTGATTCTATTGGAGCTAAAACTCTGATAATTGCCATTATATGTTTAAAAACAACGACTGCTCTAGTACATCTCTATCTACAGTGTACAGTACAAACAGTTTTGGGTGGCAGAGGAATTGCCACTTGCTCAGGTACACATCTTTTCTTTGCACAAATGTGCATCTCCCTCCATTTGGGGCTAATGCAGAATCTGGCCCAGAGTTTCTAGCCACTAAGGTTTAAAGCAATGGAAGCAAAAAGGGGCAAAGCCATAAAATTTTCAAAAGTGGATCTAATTTGGTGCATTAACTTTTGGCTGTACTACCTGGGAGTCCTGAGGCCTGAGTTTTTCAGAGGTACTGAGCATTTACAGTAGTGGGTGTGGTATAAGAATCTGAAGAACAGAACAGAGTACGGCAAGATAATTTTGAGGTTTTGAGGCTCATAGCATATGGATTTGTTTTTCATATTGTACACCTGCACCCAGAACTTTGGGCACTTATCATAATACATTAAGTTAAAGGCTGCTCCATTGTCCATACAGGGATCCTCAAAAGCCTTGGAGTAAAAATGCTGTTTTGATCATCCCAAATTTGCAATGTTTCAGCAATTTTAGGCTTAACTTTATACTTGAGAGAAAAATGAGTCCTCTAGTATTTTAAACTCTGTTAAGGATATTCTTTTAATTAGGAAATATGCAAATACAGTTAATACAAATGTACAGAACCTCAGCCAAAGCCCGTTGAAATTAACTGGAGTCTCTCCATTAATCTTGGTCATTGGATCACGCCATATACAACACCTTGTTAGTTAAAGTACACAGCCCATTGACTGAGCTTGCTAATACTTCTGTGAGGTAGGTATTGTAATACCCATCTTGCAAATGGTAAACTCATGCACATCGAGGTCAGTGTTCTGCTCTAAGGCACACTCTAGGCACACTCCCTCATAAATGTATTCCAGATGTAAACTGACACACGTTAGTTATCAATGCTTTGTTTTTGACACAGGTATTTCTAATTACAGATTGTGAAAGTTTTCTATGCTTTCTCGATTACAGTGTAAGAGGTGGCTGATGGGCATTTGAAGACCTGATATTGCTTTATCAGACCATCCAAACAATACATTCCCTTTGTTTATACATGTAATATACGTGTCTGATCCTACGAACACTTATTTGCATAAGCAGCTTTATTCATGTATATACATGTCTTTGGGATCAGAACCACAGATCATATGTAAAGTAAGTATAATGGAGGGATTTTACGGTACAGAAATTATAATCTGAAGGGAAACTGAACTCACCAAGGTATCTTTAAAAGCGAGGTAAAACAATAAATAAATAGAAAGGTAGTATGCAAAACTGATATTTATTTGTATTCTGATCTGTGTATTAACATGCTGTTTAAGTAGTCTAAATTATGATACATTTAAACAGTTAATGATAGGGTGAATCCTGCTCTTTAATTGTTCTGGGAACAACAACTAAAATGACTTTCTAAAACATATTTTTCCAAAGGGAAGGGAAGAGGGAATCCTGGACCCCATCCTGGTGCCTGAGAATGAGAGATTGTTAAGCAACTGGAAGGATCAGTGCACAGCACATGGATCAGAAACATTCATAGAAGCAGCAAATATTGTATATTGCCTCAACCCTTCCTGAACTTTCCCAGTAAATACAGCATGCTGACAGCCTGGCATCCCTGCTGGGTGGATCCTGCAACTCCAGGAGGGAATGGCACTTCTTGTTTTTAATTAGCAAAGGTGAAAGGTGAATTAAAACTAGCTGTTTGGCAAGTCGGAGCAAGGGACTGAGTTCTGAAGAGCACCAAGGAGGAGGGTTTCCCCCCCCCCCTCCTGAATGAATTGCTGAGCAGGAGGGACTGAAAATACAGCTTCTTCCTGAATCCACTGGCAGAGTTACTGAAGAGAGCTCAAGACACAACACTGCAGAGTAACGCCTTGGAATGTCCTCTCAGTTTATAAACAATTGTCGCAGGGAGAGAATATTTTTACATGACATTTGCACAGCCTGACAATGTGGAGCTGTGTGCTGTTCTGAAGAACTGAATTTCCCATAGAGATCCTCACAAACTGAACAGAAAAAGACTTAGCTGCATTGGGAAAGTCAAGAGTGGAACTTGAAGCTTTTAAAAACAAAACAACTAAGTGAAGAAGCACAAGAATTTGATCTTGGGCAGCATGGCATCTACTAAGGACCTTTTAATCCTGGCACTATATGGCTTGTTACTAGAGTTACCGACCGGATGTCATACAACAGATACAAGGCTGCCAAGATTACGTCTGTCACATAAAGGTAGGTCAGTATGTCAGCTAGGTTTTGTGACAAATTCAACCTTGCTGTAACTCCACCACTTCAGTGGAATTACTACACCACGGATGAATTTGGACACTTGACAGAATGAAATATTCCTATTCAGAAATGAATATGAATGATTTTTCCTGTGCTTAATAAAGGGTGCAATTTAGTTTGCTGTAGACAGCAATATTTATTTTAAAGCATTTCTACTGATTCATAGTGGCTACTACAATAGCCTTTTACACCTTAGAGTGCATTAAACTAGCTAGTCACTCTGTCATTATTCTCCATGTTCTGTGAAGATTGTTCTCTAACAAGGATGAAATGCAATAGATAACACATGTGATCACTGAATAGTTTATGATATGCTGTCTTCTACCGGGTAAGTCCTAAGCAGTTAAATGCCTGTTTTATACATTTTGCTGTGGATCCAACTTATGTATATAGTGGGTGAATTCCTGTGCAGCCTGGTGAATCATCTTCTAAACTAGCAAATGTCATCACACTATAATTAAAATGACTAACTGCCAATATAAGTCTGCTTTCAGATTGACTGAATTGCCCAAAGATAAATGTCATTTTGCCATGAAATAGGTGGGTGGGTATAAAACTCTTGACTCTTTATTTTAGTTGCAGTTCACCTGAAGTTTGAATCCCTCCTCCTTAATTCCAGATAAAATCCTATGAGCCAAATTATGCCCTCATTTGCACCTGGGTAGTAGGGTTGCATAGGTTTAAATTCATTCACAGGTTTCCTTATTTCAGCTTGAGCCTTTTTTATATAAATACTTGTGCAGTTCCATGCAATTGTAGTTCTCTGCAGCAGCACACACATTAACAGATGACATAACTAGAAAATATGCAGCCAGATTGTTGTTGCAGAAGAAGTTAAAAGGACAGAGTACGCATCATATGCCCATAATCTGTCACTAAGAAATGTTTTTATATTACCTATTGTGCAAAGATTAAAAGAAAGTGACTCTCTTCTTTGCTGACCTAACAAGGATGGGGAGGCAGGAGGGAAGGAAGAAGGAAACATACTTGAGAAAAATTACTGTAGTTATTAAAACAGACAATTAAGCTTCATCAGTATGAAATATGTTATAATAGCAATATTTAAAAAATGTATTAGCATCAGACTACAAGTACACATTGTACAGAGTATAAACTAGCATGAGACTAAACAGGATTGAATTGTCTTTTATATAGCAATCTGAATTACCAGTTATGGGAGAAAGAAAGGAAAAGCTGAATAGGATAATTGGTCTGAATGTCTTGTTAGAGGGCTAATAGAAGTGGGTTTTGCTTTTATAGACCATTTGGAACACTTTTTAGTGGAAGAAAGATTTGTCTTAAGGAGCTGTTTTGTAATTGAACCAGTGATTAGTATCAATGAATGAAATGAATTGATCCTAGTTTTATACAGGAGACCTTATTTTTTTTGACATATGTTTTCAAAATACAGTAGCAACTATTGATAAGTGTTGACTTTATCCTGCTTTATGGAATCCCCCCCTTCTGGAAGCAACATATTTGAGTGTCAATTTCTTGTGAGGTGTAATTAGAAATACTATAAGTATCATAGATATTACTTGGTGGTTATGGGGTGGGGGAAGAGGAAAAAGGCCCAGTGAATGAGATAAATAGTCCTACTGTTGTGTTAATACAGGGCGCTGGATTAGCTGCCACTTTTGGCAAGCTTCCCATGATGGTTCTGTAGGTATTAAATGTTTCTACTCTCACTTAGTGGGGTAAATTGTTTTTCCACTGGTTAGAATTAATGTGCATTTTACTGCATGCTGCTTTCATTTTCAGAGAGCTAATAATTTGGTCATAACACATCATAATTCTGTGATGCTTTTAAATAGATTATAAAATACCAGTTTCTCACTCAGTGCCAAATTTTGACCCCACTGAAGCCAGCTGTCACTGATTCCAATGACTTTACTGTGACAAAGATTTGGCCCTATTGTATTGACTCTGCTCCCTGATATGAGCACACTTATCACCACCTTATACTTGGTACATATATGTAGTGCAACTGATTTTACAAGTTACACTGTGCTGGGTTCCTGTGTGCATATTCAAAGTCAAAGGTTAGAAGTGTCATACCTGTTTGCATCCTGGGAACAGCTATTGTAATTCTCCCAGCTAAAAGAATGTAGCATTCAAGAGCAAGACAATGACTAAATGTCCTTGCTCTATTCACTAACCAAATATGAATAGCAGGAGGGTCTCCCATCCTAATTTTATAGTTCCAGAGGGCTGTTGCTCTGTGTACCAAACAGGCAATAGGGTAATTATAATGAAATTATAACTTGTCCTCTTTACAAAGCCAACCTATGCTTTGGAGTGAGTTGCCATTTTGAGATAGGTGACAAAGTCCATATGGATAGTTATAGTATGGAATAGCCTTAAAATCTGCGCAGAGACAAATTTATAACAGACACTGATTAATGGAACTGCGTTTGCTATTCACACTCCTCCTGTTTGTGACTGAGAATGTTTGTGGCTAATCAGGACTTGGAAGATTATATGAAAGATAGTTTGGACAACTGTATGATAGGTAGTACAATGAGGTATATGCCCAAGAATCAAACATATTTTTAACTCATCTGTTTAAAAAGATTTGTACTTCAAAACATCTAAAACATTTTCCATGAGCTAGAAATCAAGGAAGGAGTTTAACTTAATAATATTTAGTTTAATTTCAAAAATGGCTCATTTGAAATAGCTGTGAGGCAGGAGATCCTTTATCTACACAGCAGGCAAGGACTGGCCAATGGCAGTGCAAACTTTTCACACCCCTGCGCAGCAATATCAAGTTCCTGATGCACTAGGGTAACCTTTGCGGATGAGAATAGCACAGTCGCCATGCTAATTAAGGGAGAGATTGTGTAACCCTTACTCATGTGTATCAGCACCTACTCACTTAATTAGCTTCCATGGCAGTTCATCAGTAGCAGTACATTCTTGAATTACCAATACATTTGTCAAGCCTCATATAAACTGTATTGGTGATTTTTAGTAAGGTGGGCACCTGTCTGCAAGAAACTGGGGCTACCAGTTCAGTTTACCCAGAACCTGCTCTTGCTCCCACTTAAGTCAATGAGAGTTTCACCACTGACTTAAGTGGGAACAGAATCAGAGTTATAGTTAACTCAACAGCCATCGGATGTTTGCAGCTTTTGGTTACTAATTGTCTGAACCAATTTGAACCAGTGACAATGTGTTCCCTCTTCCATTATGATTTCCCTGAGCCATCCATTCACCTTTCAGTTATCAGGAGATTTATACCAGGATTTAGAAAAATGTTCTTGGTTTCATGTTCATTCAGTGCTACAGTTTTGCCTAAAGGTCAGGATCTGATGATGAACAATAAACATCTTAGGGTGCATTATTACATCAAACTATTGATTCATGCTGATTTGTAGAGTTACAGATATATTACTGCTGTGTTCACTATTATAGAGAAATAAAGTTTCTACATTAGTATGTTACAGGTTGACAGCTACGTTTAAAATGATATAAAAATCATTAGCTCATTTTATGTATAATACAGACTCTGCCTAATGAGGTGCTAATGGAAGCCAAGTTTCAGCTAATAGTCTTTATAGGCTGATTGTAAAATTCTTTCCCAATATCCCACAGTTAGCACTCTCAGCACTGGGAAAGACATAATTAAGGTGGAATCAATAGACACTGTATGTTAAACAGAAACTATTTACGTTACATGTTGAAGTAGGACTGGTTTTGCAGAGGACGGTAGGTCTATATTTAAAAGCTCGCACAGCCGTGTTAACAGGATCTGGATCAAAAGCTTTCATGAAAATGTTTGATACCCGTGTACAAATTCAATTTACAATACATTTTAAACTACGCTTTCTGGTAGTGCATTTTTGTGTTTGGCAAAGAGAAAAAAGTAGAGAAATCCACCCAACATTAGCCAGAGTAAACAAAGGAGGCTTTGGTATAATAATAATAAAAAGATTGTTTTTGTATCTGACTGTGTTCAGTGCATGAATCCATCCCATCATTTATTTTCACTAGCTAATTCAAGAAATCTCAGAAATTAGAAATAAGCGGAGAAAAAAGATATTATCTCATTAGTCCATTTCCCTGCAAATGTAGGTTTCCTCCTTACATTATTAACAGATTGTCAGGTTGGGTATTAAATGTGCCAAGTGATGAACCTTTCATCTCTTCCCTTGGGAAACTGTTTGACAACCTACTGCATCTCTGTCAGGAAACTTTGCTGATATTCAGACAGCTTTTCATCCAAATTTCCTTCTCAGTTTCATCTTATTACACCTACTCATATCACCTAACTCCTCTCAGATATTTGTATTTATTTTGCTCCTTTGCCACTCCTTAACCAAGCTGTACAAAGTTACCCCTTTAATCTTTCCTCATAATCACGTCTCAATCCCCGGATCTTTTTCTTCCTTTTTCTCTGAACTCATCCAATATGTGGGTTTTACCCTTCTGATAAATCATATCTGTGGAGGGTATATGTGCATTTGAAGGCGTCCTCCACCTCAGCCCATCTTCCTAATTTCTATTTCTATTTCCTATTTCTGTTCTTAATTCCTCCTGTAGTTTAGTGAAGTTGTAGGCAGGCAGAAGGAGAAAGTTGGACTAAAAAAGAAGTAAGCTCTTCTCTAAGGACAAACAATTTCAAATAAGGACAGGAGAAAGAACTGAAGAGAGGCAGAAAACAAGAATGTCATCCATATGTGAATTTTAATGTATATGATTAATTTCTGGGTTTTAGGTCTGTTTAATCACCATTGAGGGCTGTTGTAATTTGTTAACAAATTTGGTTTGTTGTCATTGTAGTTACGAATGAGGCAGCATTGCCACTGCAACAATTTTCAATTATAACTTCCTAGATGACCTCAGCTTAGAATTTTTCTTTTTATTTTTTTTTTTACTAAGTGTGATCAAACTGTTAACTTTAACATTGCACTAAGCTAGGACCATTCAAACTGTTCATT